TCTGCTGGACTCTCTCCAGAAGATCCCTGTCCCTCTGGAACTGGGGAGCCCAGAACTGGACACAAATAAAGGGGTTTTAATTGGAAAAAGGTGAAAGATGGAGATGAAATATCAGGAGCTACACGGAGAAACAGACCGGAGGAGGAGGAGAGCAGCACTGTCACCGCAGCGGAGTGGCCTTCACCCCTCCTGCTTGCTGCACGTCCAGCTGGCCCCCAGCCCAAGGTGACAGCGAGCACCCACGGGGCCACCCGAGCCCAAAACATCACCGATAAGGGCTTGGCGTGGGCTGGCTGCACGTGCCACCAAGGACAAGTCGGGCTGGATTCAGCTGCACCCATGGGTGCAGGGCTGGACTGATGCACCCTGTGCTGCAGCACCTTCCTCAGGGACTGTCACTGCTGCCATCGTAGCACACGGGGGCTCGAGGTGTGTCCCACTTTGGGGAGGTACCAGCAAAGATGGGAGACCACCAGGGTTAGGACAGAGAGAACTTCCCACCTTGGCTGCAAGATCCTCGTGCACTGACCCATCTCCCAGGAGAGCTCGAATCCAAACGAGGAGCACCCAGGTGAGCCATGGCCATGGTGGAAAGTGCCTTTCCATGGAGGGGAGCAGCCCCGTGGGGTGAAGGTGACCCCAGCTCATGGCATTGGCAAACACCACCGGTGACATCCCCACCCGTAGCCACAACAGGGACCCGGCCAGTGGGGCAGAGGGTGGATGCTTCCCCCCCCCCTCGCCTTCCCCAACACCCCACGCCAGGAATTTCTCCTCTCAGCAGAAATCTCTGGGGTTGTTTGTGCTCCTCCTGGAAAGATTGGGCTGGAAAAACCGCTCCCCTCAGCCTGGGTGTCTGGGACTGTCTGCAAGAGGCAGCTGGCTCTGTGACATGTCCCCTGCCACCCCCCAGGACAGAGAAAACAAGCCTGGGGACAGGGATCTGTGCAGGGGACATGTCACACGCTGTGGGCGCTGGGGTCTGCAGTGGGGACAGAGCTGGGTGGGCAACAGTGGAGTCCCTCCTGTCCAAGCACACCAGTATTTCTCCAGGGTCTTTATTGGCAAGATCCAGCCCTTTGTCCAGCACCCCATGGCCCTGTCCCACAGTGTCCCCAGCTTCCTCCTGCGTGAAGTGTCCCACCAAAGGGGATGATCCAGGGATGGATGCTGAGAGAATCACCCAAGGGTTCTCCCTGCAGAGCTGAGAGGTGGCTCAGGCCAGGATGGGGTAGGTGGCTTCGGTGGCCACACCACAGTTGTTGTCCTTCATGGCCATCAGGATGTAGCCATCGTTGCCCCAGTATGTGGACCAGGAGTTCTTGATCAGCCAGTAGGTCTCTCCCTGCAGGACCCCGTAGCCCACGGCCAGCACCGCGTGGTCCAGTGTTCCTGGCTTGTTCTCTGCAGGGGATGACATGGGAGATGGCTCGTCTGGAGAACATCCCTGTCTGGAGAGCATCCCAGCTCCTGGGGCTGCAGGACTGGTTCCCTCTTCCACCCCTGTCCAAGATGCTCAACAACGAGGAAGGGATGCTGGGTGTCCTGGCATCTCCCTGGGCACCCAGGTCCTCCCGTGCCCCATGTGCCACCCAACTCACCACACTTGGGCTCATAGTAGATGCCATTGGAGTAGAAGGAGAAGGTCTTGTGTGAGGCATCGATGCTGACGGCCACGGGGCCGTGCTTGTAGATGGCAGCTTTGACTGCTGTGATGTTACCTGAGGTGACGTTGACGTAGCCCGTGATCTTGGCCAACATCTCAGACTGGTTGTAGTGGCACAAGCCATTCTGTGGCACCCAGGGAAGGGGACACTGTGTCATCTGGAGCCCCCAGGTCCCCTCGCTGGGTCACGATGGCCCTGTGCAGCTCTGCTCTGATGCAGGGAGTGATCTGGGTGGGACTTGGGCTGTGACAACATTCCAGCTCTGGTCCCTCTGTCCTCCCTTGTCCACCATGATGGGGACATTTTCCCAGTTGCTGCAGTGACACAGCATTGCCCAGATGCAGCGTGGGGACCTGGCTCTGCACCCAAAGCCCTGGAGGGGTTGTTGCCTGTGTCTTGCAGCCACGTCACTGTCCCTGGGCAGCCCAGCTCCATCCCTGCACCCCAGGGTACGAAGGGACCCATGACACCACCCATGGGTGGAGAAGCCTCGTCCTTCTTTTGCAAGAAGAGAAACTGAGGCACGTGGTGATGAAACTGCCCGGCTGAGCCCTGGGGTGCAGGGACTGTGCTTTGAACCATGGGGACCTGGTGCCTTGGGAACGAGGTGACGTCCCCATCTCCAGAGCCTGTTAGCACCTCTGATTGATCCTGGTGTCCCCACCATGGCCTGGGGGGCACATCCTGAGACCTGGGGGACCTCAGAAGGGACATGGGGCCACCCTCACCTGTCCCTTGTAGGCACCGTAGGACTCGGTGCTGGCGATGCCACCGTGTTTCTTGATCCACTCGTAGGCTCTCCACTCCTCGCCCCCGTCGCAGGCGTAGTTCCCAAAGCCCCAGGAGCAGTCGATGAGGACTTGTTGGGACAGGGGGGTCAGCACGCCGGTCTGTGGAGGGGACACGCTGTAGGGATGGGGACAGGCACCCTCCAGGTGCCCCAGCCATCTCCGTCGGGCACGGCCCCGCTCTGACCTTGAGGAAGAGGGCACCCTCCATGGCGCCCGTCGTAGCGAAGCTCCAGCAGGACCCACAGACGGCCTGATCCTTCACGGGGGTCACAGCGCCTGAGGACACAGAGTGGGCCGGTCTGTGGAGGGGACACGCTGTAGGGATGGGGACAGGCACCCTCCAGGTGCCCCAGCCATCTCCGTCGGGCACGGCCCCGCTCTGACCTTGAGGAAGAGGGCACCCTCCATGGCGCCCGTCGTAGCGAAGCTCCAGCAGGACCCACAGACGGCCTGATCCTTCACGGGGGTCACAGCGCCTGAGGACACAGAGTGGG